CAAATAGAAGAACTGAAACAGCAGTGTCCACCCATGTAAGTTTCACAAATTTTTCCAGGATTCCTTAGAAAAAAAACCCACCTCACTACATACACGGTAAAGCTAAGCATCTCACATCAATGTATCTACCAGGCAGCATTACCTCTCTCACTAGAGAAAGCATGTTAAGTGTGTGTGTGGGGGAAACATCTTTATCAGTTTCTGCAGTCTTACAGCACCTTTGCAGACAGGTGATGCCTGTCACATAGTAAAAACCAGTTATTTTTCACCCAGTTATTATATAACAGGCAGTGCTATAGATTGTATGCTGTCTGGTTCAGAATGCCTTTAAGAAGTCTTTAAACCTGTGTTAAGATGAAAAGAATTTTTTATCTGTTCATTAGTATTTCTAACAGCAGAACGTACTGTTACAGGCAATCATTTCAACCACTGAAAAGGCTCTGGTGACATGATTAAACAGTTATACAATGGTTAATATGGCTTCTACCTAATTTGCATATGCATTAAGAAAAGAAATATCCTCAGAGCATCTCAGCTACAATAACACAATTACTATGCATTGTCATGTCATTTCACATGTGTGCCAGGAATGACTATGCACTAAAAAACAAAAAAGCTCACACACTTGACTGCTGCAGCTCAACTTTCTGAACAGATAGCACTCACGTATCCCCAATAAAAGCAAGAAAAACTGTGAGTCTATCCCATTCTTTTTGAAATTCAAAGCATCAAGTATAGCCTTCAGAAGAAGTAAGAGATGTTTGACAGCTCCTGAGTGGGTTTAACAGATCTGAGCAATGGCTTGTACACATAAAGATGTCTATGCCCCCTTGGCTCCTCGTACAATCCCCTGTGTTCACCAGCTGGCACAGACACATATCCCCATGTAAGTTTTGCCTCTGAGTTCAAGCAGAGTTGTTAGCACAGTTTCAAAGAGGGGAGCGGGCGCCGCTCTGCAGCTGGATCTGCTCAGGAGAAGCCCTGCCCTCCCCCAGCAACAGGCCCGGCCCGCGGCCCCCCACGCCGAGGGGCTTCTGGTGGGGTGACCGCCACACTCCGACAGACCCTTCCCACTGCACCACGCCACAGGGCTCGACAGTGCTGCGTTAGCGGCTATGCTCAAAATACACAGGTGCAGCAGAAGCAAGGTAGGCAGTAGTACCGAGCAAGGGATCTAAAGCTTTCAGAAACTTATTGAGGATTATGTCAAATCAGAGGAAATAGTTCCTTCGCTATGCTCTTCTACTAGTAAAATCTTGACAAAGAAATAAATCACGCCAATTCTTCCCAACCAGAAAAACATTTCATGTTCTAGCGCTGACTCTTCCTGCCTCTAGAGTATTGCAGAAAGTTTCTTTAGAACGAAGTAGACCAAGAAGCAAGATACACAGATTTCTACTGAAAAATAAATCTACTTCTCCATAACATTTCTGCGGTTTATTCAAACAGAACACAATGGAATTACCACCTTTATAGCTGACCCACCCCAAATCTGAGCCCTTTTCTGTATAGCACTGAATTGTTACTATACTACATAAAGAGCAAACACTACCGGAATGTACACAGTGAAGGAAAAAAAAGTAAAGCTTTTCTTGCCAAAGTAACCGTTTTCACTACTAACGTGTTATCTAGAAAAATAAGGTCTAGGCAACGTCCAAAAGTGTTCAAGTTTCAATAAATAACTATCAATGCCCCAAATTTGCACTGGCACGAGAAATATGGATCGTACAGTTCAGAAAAGTTATTTTCATACGACCGAGTCAGCAATGCATTTCATCCTGCTTAAGATTTACAACAAAAATCATTTCTCCCCAGGGTTCGATTTTAAAACCGAAGCCGTGTAAGTGCAAGAGCACCCACGTACATAGCTGTCTTAACTCTCAATGGCAAATTAAAGCTCTAGAGAAAGACGGTATTTTAAAAAAAGTTCTTTATCAATACCAAGAAAATATACATAGCCATATTATGTTTTAAATATATATATATACACGCACATCTTTTCAAAAGGGTATGATTCTGGCTTTTTTTTTTCCTTTAAGTTTGAAAAGCTTATCCATTGCTATACAGTTCAGTAAGGTGTATTAGGAAACACACTTTTTATATCCCCCATGAAAATAAAGTTGAATCTTTCTGTAAACAGGAATTTCCTTAATTTCCGAAATCTCTACAGACCTCAAGTACTTCACTGAAAAAACCAACCACCTGCCCCAAAACCACCCACGGAGACCCTCGCTGCCGAGGGCAACACCGACAGACCGCGGGAAACGCTTAGCAACACCCGGCTCCTGCAATCGCCTTCTCCGGGCGCAAATAAATAATAATAATTAATAATAATAATAATAATAATAATGGAAGAG